ACCTGAGCGTGCGCTGCTTGTGGAGTCTCCTCCTTCGGATGAGTTAAGAGGAAAAAGCGGAGCGTGAGGCATTGTGTGAGCAGGCAGGGCCATCGAAGTCAAAACTGGTGGGTTTTTTGCTTTCCGAAGCGGAGGACTTGATTTGAAACTTGTCTGGGGATGAACTGCAGCAGCAGTCAGATAAGGAGTGGCAGAACAAAGTGCACAGTGGGATCTGAGCTGCTCAAAATACCACCGGTTTCGCTGTACTGTTCTGTCTGTGAACTTTACCTGTAGCTCTGGACACGTACCCTCCTAGCCCACATGGCAGAGAGTCCTTACGAGGTGGCAAAAAATGACAAGCGTGTGAGTGTAGTCAGCCCCGTTCCACAGGGAGAGGGCTCTGCTCACAGCTTCCGAGTAAGCTTCTACTGGATAAAATGGGAAAACTGCAGTTAATTTGCAGCCTCTGTAGTGCATTTGGATAACATTCCCCTGTGATAAATATTCTTTACTAGAAATTATAAGGACGTGAAGTCAGTGTTTGTCTGGAGTTTTCCTGCGTGCAAGAGACATGCAGGCCTGGGTGACGCTGCAGATTGAGGGGTTTCTGGGATGAGCACATGGAGGAGCAGAAGCCTTTGGGGCTCTCTGTGGTGACTTCGTGCTGAGGCTGTTTCCCTTCTGGTGATTACGTGGTCTTTTTTGCAGTGTCAGAATGTCAGTGGCACAGACTAAGCTGCCTTTCCCACCCATCTGGAATAATTACGCTTTTGCATCAAGTGGCTGAAAACCTCTTGTTTTGGGCACAGAAGCAGTGTGACCATACACACTCTTTTGAATCTGCCACGTTGCAGTGCTATGGGCACTGCCATGGTGGTGTTGGGTTCTTGGTGGTCTGATCATTGGGAAAGGTGCCACTGCTGCTGGCACATCACTTGGCCCTTGGCTCTTCCTGCATTACTTGACTCGTCCATGCATATTGTCATAGAAATAATAAACAGATAAAAGGAAATGGCCAACAATACTTGTTTTCTTCCTGAGTATTCTTATCTGCAGGAATGATTGGGGAAGTTGCTTGTGGCCTTCAAGGTGACACTTCATTGCTTCAAACACCTTAAATGAGAGTAATTGCCCTCTGCTGTTATGATGGGGGCATGGATTTCCCTGCAGTAAGAAGGCTGATATATTGTAACAGATTAACCCAGAAATTCTCTCAAATGGAAACTTTCACACGGTGTAACCCTGCCACAAAACCGACTGAGCCACCATGCACATCCTGCTGCAGGTGGGCCATGGACAATCCAACCTGTGTCATGAGGAGAAATGGGGTTTTCATTGTTTTGTCTGGTGTATGTACATGCACATGCTGGTGGTTGGCACCAGCTTAGCAGAGCAGGCCAAACCTTTTTCCAAGAGTGATGCCATTCCTATCTGAATGTAAACTAATTAGAAGAAATTAGGTAGTCCAGTTTGCTTATTAAACATGTCGGCAGTGGATAAGAAGGAAACACTTTCTTCTATAGTACATACAGAGCAGTGTCACAATATTAATTGAGCACTATAAACAGAGTTTCTTCATGTGAACCCTCACTGGTGGCCACCTCCCAGTGAAATGGTGACTGTCATATCTGGGCAGCTCTGATTAGAGCAGCGGCAAATAAGCTGGGGTTTGTGTCATCTAAGGGGGCTCTGGTGCAAGTTTGTAGTCTTTGTTACAGGTTTCTCTCAGTTTTAAATGGGGAGAAGAGCTGACATTTTTCATGGCGGCACTCTGAAACTTCTGGAAACCAAACAGTCCTCTCTAACAACCCGAGACAAGTTACAGCAAGTGCAAGAAACCTGTAAGCCTTCTAAAATTAAGCTAGTGCACAAACCTGAAATGTAGGCTGCTGTTTTAGCAGCAAAATTGGTCCATTTTAAGTATGTGTTTTGCATTGCTAGTGGTTAGATGTCTCCAGGTGGCCTGTATACTAGCACTTTGTCCTAACCTTGTTTGAAGTGATTCTTGGGTCCAAGAACCATACTAATGCCTCTGAGAGGGACATTCCACACTTATTTCTGGCATCTGGGGCACTGGGATTTTAGTAGGGCCTCCTACAGTGAGGAGAGAGCTTCTTGGGGAAGAGAAGACCCCTTTCCTGAGGAGATGCTGTCAATGATAGAATTGCAGTGCTTCAGCATTGCAGCGTTAGTATTTTTGTCTTAATAGCTCTGAGATAATAAAGAGTAGGAGACATCTAATACGGCACTCCAGGACAGCTGGAGACTGATGCACTTGCTGAGTGTAAATGACGCTAGTCCCTCAGGACAGCATTCAGCTGATGTTAAGGCACCTAAATGTAGGTGTCTGTGTGTGCTGGGTGCTTAAGCCCTCATTAGAGTCATGGCAATGTAATCAGTGGAGCCAAAGAGAGTAATTATCTGACCAGCCCCTGCACGTTTACTCCAAGGTGAGTTGCTTTGTCAGGGCTTGGTTGACTGGATTGCATGTTGCCTAAAAGGGAAGCATAGACACCTTTACTTTAATGCCTTTATCCAAGAGCAGTTGAGCTCAAAGCTCTTATTTGTGAAACTTTTATGGTAACTTTCTCCATAAGCTAAGAGACTGGACAGGTGCTGTTTGTGCCAACAGAACTAGCAAAGCACTGGGAAACATCAGCCTTCAGCTAGACCAGCAGCTCTCTACCGTTCTAGTGCAACTGGATCAGTGCCTCCAAATAATACTGTAGTCTTGCTTTGCTAAAGGCTCTGGAAGAAATTAGGGAGTATATTTGGGTACCGTCTCAGCATTCTGAAGTAAGCAGAATACAGATGAGCAGAAACCTAAGTAGATGTATTTGAGGAGATAGTTGTGAGCTATTAAGGAAGAATCAGAGCATTTCAGTATTTAAAGACACTGTTTATTCATGGATTAGAAGTGAGGAATCTTTGGTGCTCCCTAGACTTTGATACAGGCCGTGAACTTGCAAAGGGGAAGTTGTTTTGAGCAACAGTGCAAGGACTTCTGGTGTTTCTTGTAGGTTCACTTCTGAGCTGAGAAGATACTCTAAAATGCAGAAAGCATGTGGTGTCTCCTTGGGAGTGCTGAGTGTCGGTTTGTTTAACAGGTCTCTTAAGTTAGAGCTGACAAGCATACTTCATTTGAACTGCTGCTCTGCTGGCTACTGGTGTACCACAGAAATGAGCCTTATCTGGCCTGGCTAGACACCTGGGAGAGTGCAATTTCTCCTGCAGAGGTGCTAGTAGAAAAGCTACTGCACTGTGAAGTCTCACCTCAAGGTGAGATAACATTTGGACCTCCTACAAGCAACTCTTGTGGAGCAACATCTGCTAATGTGGTGGTTTCCCAACCTCTCCGTTTCTCAAGCAGTGCTTGGCTGCAGTTGACGTTCTGGGTCTTGTGGAACCGGCAGAGGTCCAACAGAGTCTGTTAGCTTGGGCTCCTTGCCACGCTTGACTGTAATGTTTGTATCTCACTGCTGAGACCAGTCTCACCAGTGAGGCTTGCTTTGCTGGATAGGAACCAGTGTGTTAGTGGGATTTGGACGGAGCTGGCAATAGAACTTCCCATTGAGTCACTGGAGCTGCAGTTACAAATGAGTCATGGAGGTGTTGCAAGTCATGGCTTTCCTTGCTAGGCTTTGTGTGTTTGAACTTCCTTTGAGTATTGATCAGTTGAAGAGCTCTTGCTGCTTCACTTCTGTGTCTTGCTGATGTGCTCTCTGGCAGAATTATCTTCTCCATAGCCATTGTTTTTGCAACGTGGTTCTCTTTAACGTTCACTAATTTTGTCTCTTATTGTCAGGCGTTTCTAATAACTGAAAGGTCTTTAGGATTGCTATTGCAGAATGACTCGGGACTAAATCGAAGGTACAGATATAACCAATAGGGAACTGCCTGCCAACCAGCTTAAAATACTCTTGCTTTGCATAGAGGCTCTGTGTTCTTGTCATACTCCACTGTGTAACTTCTCTGCACTGCCTGTGCAATAATGTCAATGTCTTCATTGCCGGTCATGGAAACTAAGGCTGACATTCTTGCTTTTTTGGCTGAGCAGTCCCAGGCACACACTTCTGTCAGCCAGCCTTCTGCAAAGCCACTTCATGCAACAACTTCTCAGTGTGCTGGCTCCATCACCTGAGCACACACAAGCCATAGCTGGAGAATGGGGGTTGCTCTTTGTCTGCCTCTGCCACGTGATGAGGAACTTGTTGTCTCTTAAACGTAAGGAAACTTGAACTCCATTCCACTTGGACGGGAGTGTGCTGAATGCTTTCTGGGCAGTACTGCAGACCATGACTGTTCTGTGCTGTACACAGGAAAGCTCTTGCTAATTAGTTTCTAATGCTGGTGGCTGTACACATCCTGGTCAGAGCCAGTCAGCAGCTCTGGTCTAGCCCCTTGCATCTAGGGATTACTGGAGGAGCAGACTGTAGATTGAAGCCAGAGGTGGGCAGGGGTGAGTGGAGCCAGTCTGCCTTCTGGAGAGCAAACGGTGATTAATGTAACGAGTTCCAGATGAGAGCTCTTGTGAAGCTCTATGTCATAGCAGCAGTACTGCTGTGGCTGTGCTGGTAGGGAGTCTTTGTATGTTCCCTTAGGATCAGAGCTGGCAGCTACAGTGCTATAGGAAGAGACTACCTGGCTCTTTCCTGTCCCAGAATAGGATCCTGTGCTGCCTGATTGTATGCTTTGATATCAGTAGAGTAGAGAAATAACAGTATAGGTATGTATATACTTATACAGGGAGATGTCTATCCTTGTCACATGCTGTTTGTTACCAGCTCACGGCAGGTTTTGGAGGCTGTGTGCCCTGATCCCAGAATCGTGATCAGGGAGATTGATGCCTGTGCTCTGCACAACCACAGGAGCTCAGAGCAGCCTGCTGATCTACCGAAACACTGGTCTCTGGTGAAAGCATCCCTGCATAAGAGAACCTGTTATCCCATTGACCAGCTAATAGGGATCTTCTTTAAGGACAGAACATGGGCTTTCTTCAATCAAGAAGTTGAGGGGTAAGAGGAGTAAAAACCCAAACTAGAGAAACCACAAAGCTTGCTTGAATTTATGTCTAACACGAATGCTAATACATGCGATATTTTTCACTTGCCTACTGTGCTCTGTGCATATGAAACTGTAGTAGACACTCTTGCACTGGCAGATTTGATGGACAAATGAGATTTGTCCATCTTACTGGCTCTAACAGGGTGTAAGTGGCACCTAGGTGCAGTGGAAAAGTGGTAGTGAGGCTTGCATCGAAACTTACCTAACAGCCTGCAGCTAGACAGCTTTGACTTCTAAATCTCTTTCTGTCCTAACGGAGGAATCATCTAGATCGTGACTACTTTCCCATCAGTGAACAA